GCTTCACGTTGTGCTTAGCAGCAAAATCAATCATTTCTTGTGTCTCCTCCATCCCTCCAATGGCACTCCCAGCCACCAACTTCCTCCCTGCATAGAAGTGACCAATACTACTGGTTAGCAACTAAGCATCATTTTCCTGTTTCAATCATGAAAATGACTTCTCAGTGATGCTTATTAGACACAACCTGCTTTAACTAGCTAGAGAAGATAATGGACTTACCCATGAGTAGAGGAAAGACTGGGAGTTCTAAAGGCTTCTCTGGGGCACCGACCATAACGAGTTTCCCATGAGATTTCAACAGATCAATCAAAGGCAAGAGAGGATGAACAGCAGAAACAGTGTCAATGATACCATCGAAGGTACCCGTTAAAGCCTACATTAATAAGCATGTTATTAATTAGAATCTGATCCTGACAATTTATAAGATGCAGGAACAATAAAGAAACAAATTCTGACGGTAACCTGCATCTGATCTTGCTCCCGACTGACCACAAAGGAATCAGCTCCTAGATTTCTTAATGCTTCCTCTTTCTTATTAGGTGATGTACTTATTACTGTCACTTTAGCGCCAAAGGCCTTGGCAAACTTCACAGCCATATGGCCTAAACCACCAATACCAACCACACCAACATGTAAACCAGGCTTGTCCAGTCCAAAGTACCTCAAAGGACTGTACACAGTGATCCCAGCACAAAGCAGAGGAGCAGCAGAATCAAGAGGAAAGCCGTCTGGAATGCGAACCACAAACTGTTCATCTGCAACCATCAAGTCAGAGTAGCCTCCATATGTGATAGTTCCATCCACATACTTGACACCATATGTGAGAATCATTTTTGGGCAGTAATTTTCAAGATTTTCAGTACAGTTTTTGCACGAGCCGCAAGAACCAACCATGCATCCCACACCTACCTTGTCTCCAACTTTGAACTTCTCAACCTTGCTTCCCACCTCTGTTACTTCACCAACAATTTCATGCCTGAATTTGATACAACAGTCAGAATCATATGCAAGCAGAAATCATCTTTAAGTGCTTAAACCATCTTATGGATTATTGGGCCGGGTTTTATGGAGCTACATTCAAACCAAGAAATATTTTATCGGTTTGAAAGCTGCTTTAGAGTCGAAAACTACATTTAAACCACAAACTGGAACGGGTTTTAAGGAGCAAGAAACCATAAAACCCTCAAGCCAGTGTATTGAGGCCGATGGTGGGAGAGAGAGAATAAGGAGGAAGAAGAAGAAAAAGAAAGAAACGGAAAATATAAATCACAAGCAGTGACATGTCCGGAGATCTTTTGATATTTATATTCTTTCTTGGGACGATTCTTCAAATTAAGCAGGATCGTATACAGTGAGCCTTAATGTCATATTCATAACATGTGCCAGCGGCGCTCTTTTCTTCACTCTCAAAGAAGAGAAAGGAAGACACAAGGAAATTCGATACCGCCTGTTCCGGTGAAATTGGCTTAAAAACTATTATGCTTTATTATTGGCGACCGGTCAAATTGGTTTTATGCATTAAAATAATCAAACATATATGCATGGAAAGCAAATGATAACTACATAGGATGACAAATCATAATTAAAATAATAATTGGGAAAAGATACCCGGGTACTAGTGGATAGATGGAAGTGCCCCACTCATTCTTAAGCATGTGGAGATCCGAGTGGCAAATCCCGCAGTACATCACTTTGAACACCACATCTTTCTCTCCGGTTTTCCTGCAACAACATTTAGATTGATCAGAAGAAGGATCTCTCGTCCCCAGTAATTTTGATACATCCAAGGTAATGAAACATATTCTACAGAACCTAATCAAAGAATCAAATACATGAAAGAAGGAAGCGAGGGACCTTCTAGAGAAGTGGAAGGGAGAGAGAACTCCGGACGTGTCCCTAGCAGCCCATCCGAAAGCCTTCAGGGGATGCTCCATCTCTGTTTGTGAACCCATTTCAATCTGATGCAATTCAGAATGGAGAGAGACTGAGCACAATTGAAGAAGAGAGTGCTCTTAAATAAGTGTGTTTTTGCCAACCCTTAATTTTTTTTTTTTTTGCCAGCTGCCAACCCTTAAAATTTAAATAAACTATATCATAGCTATAATGGAATAGTTGAAGCGTCACGTTCGTTCAAGTTTTTTAATCCTCAACTGAAGGCCGCAATCATTTGATATTTTTGTTACTTCCATGCATCCTTAAATACTTTTATACTCCTCCGATTCTAAATATAAAATCCTTTTATACACTATATAAGGATCTTATATTTAGGACGGGAAGAGTTAATTATAACTATAAGACGATGAAAATCAGATTGTACTATTACTGAGTTCAGTGATTCAAATTTCTTCATTACTTCATGTTGCCATCTATGGTTAATTAACTTAGCTTGCTGGAATATTCTATCTGTGCGGCGCTCCTATCTGTCACAACTTACATCTTTGTATATGAACAGATGCTTGGACAAAACGCAATTTGACGGGAATTTTGGGGCTGCTGCACTGTTCATAAGAGTTAAATCATTGGCGCAAAGCACCCAATGATTGCTTAGTTAATTAAATCATTACTTTAAAGCAGGAATAATTAAGGACAAGTGGGCAACCAAAGTGCGCATTTAATTTTATTTTAAAGAAATTATTGTTCTGCCGACCATCTACCTAAATTTAAAAAGTAAAGTCGTCACTAAATCTACGCAGTCAAGATTTATTTTTAATAACCAGGTGAATAACCTTTCTAAAGGCCGGATATATAATGTCTTGACTCCGTGAATGACCTTATTTTTTGTTTTTGTTTTGGTCAGATAATGACTTTAGGCTTGTTTGAGGAAATTAGGGGATGAAGAACCATACACACACACGTAGTACGGATACATCCTAGTTTAATTTTCCTGCATTTAAATACGATTGGACATGATTTTTTCTGTAATTTGCAGTGATAATGACTGGTGAATGGTTTAACTGTTTATAATTTATATTATACATGCGAGTCTATTGAATAAATTAAATTCGAATATTATTGCTAAATTAATATTGATTGATGTATAGTCTTATTGGGAAAATGGGCTAGGCCGTCACTAGCTCGGGCCTAAATGGGTTAGCCCATTTAAGCTCGAGTCCCAAAAATAAATGATTTTATCAGGCTCAACCCTTGAGATGACTGGCTCAGGACTAGCCTGCTGTAGCCCATTTAACTAAAATGCAATTTTTTAATTTTTTTGTATATTTTATCAAAATAATAAAAATAAAACAATAAAATTACTAATAAAAGGTATAAATATAAATAAAATTAAGTCACAAACATAAACATTATCATATCTAAGCATTTATCATAGTGCAATAGAGTCTATTGAATAAACAAACTAAATAGAAGACAGATATAAGTGACTAAATAAGCACTAAGTTCAGTAAATAATTACAATGGGGATGATCTGGTTTAATTATAAATAATTAATAAAAAAGTTTAACTAACAAACATAGTATACATAAAGAATTATCATTAGTCTTGCTGGCAAAAAAAAAAAAAAGGAGTCAATCGTCCCTAGTTCTAAATTCATTTCTAACTATAAAAATGATATAGATCTTTATTTTAATTCAAAAGATTCTTTAATTAATCCTATTTCAAGCATAAAAAATATGGAAGAATAACAAATAAAGACCGTAAAAATCATACATACAATATTTTAATAGGTTTTGACAACTTATAAATAACAATACATTTTTGTGAATATACCTAATTTTAAATTTTGTAATTTCTAATTTTTTTTTATTTTTCCAACAATTATAGTGATTTTTTTTTTTTTGGTGAATGCTATCTATGTGAGTTGCTGGGGTGAGTGAAACGTGTTATGTGTAAAATGTTAGGGTTTTTTTTAAGTTAAGAAAAAAATATAAAATTTTTTTAAAAAAATTATTGACAGATTTAAATGGGCCGGCCGCTTATTTTTCGGTCCTACTGGGCTAGCCCTTTTAAGTCCAACTTTTCTTTCAAATCTTTAAAATATAAGCTTGGCCCTTGACTTAAACAGGTTAGCCCGAAGGGGTCAACTTGTTTTCCGAGCTCTAGTCTTGTTTCACTTCAAAGGTGTTTGGGTAGAACCAAACCATGATTTGAAAAATGGTTCCTGGAGAATAGATTTTGAAAATAAATTTTAAAAGAATAGATTTTGTGAAAAAGTAATTCTAATAAAGAGAGAGTGTTTGGATAATTGTTATCAAAAATATTTTTTTAGGTGTAAATTACTAAAAAGGACATATGTTAATATGATAATTATATAAAAATATATATTTTAATTTATATTTTTATTTGAAGTTCTTCTATTGTCCTTAATGTAAGATCTAATTAATTAACTTGAGTAGATTAAGAATATTAGTTAAATTAATTAATATGATTTTTTAAGACACCCTAAGTATTTTTTTTAATTTTCTTCCTCTCTCACCTACTTGGTTATTGTTGAGTGAACACCAATTAGGTTTTACATTAAGGACCAGAATAATAAATTTGTTAATGGTTTTTTTTGCCAACATAATAAATAATGTATAAAAAATATATTAATTAATTGTTAATATGTGTATATATATTTATAAAATATAAGATTAAATATGTTTTTAGAAAAATGAAAAAAAATTCAACAGAAAATATTATTTTAAGTGGGGGAGGAGAACTGGTAAAAAAAAGAAGGATCAGGGAGGAGAAAGAAGGAGAAATATGAAGGCGTGAAGATGGCAGTGATGGGGCAAAACATTTCGCTAACAACAACATCCATATTGGTTCCAAAAGCAACAAAATTTCGCTTATGATAAAACCATGATTTTGATGGGCAAACCATGGTTTCATGACAAAACCACAGTTTCAAAAAATTAAAGGATGTTTGGATATTTTTGAGACCAAACCTTAGTTTGGGTTCTAAAAGTACTTCGTCAAGGTTTGCCAAACACTCCTTTTATCTAACTCGGGCCCTTTAGAAAGGGGGAAAAAACTAATTTATCTCATCTACCTCTTGCCCGCATAAACTGCGTACTTTTATAATTTGACCAATGCAACCATTAAAAGATTTACATAAAAATTATAATATGTTCATGAGTCATGAACAGTACAACTCATTTTTCACCCAACCGATGGAATAAAAATCAAAGATTTTGGAAAAAAAAAAAACATGCAATCAACACAGATACACACATCCTGGCTCATTATTAATAGCTCGCTCGATCTATAAGCTAGAAAATAATTAATTATGATTAGGAGAGCCAAAAAGCGTGGGGCTTTCAAAACGGATATAGTCATACATAATTCCTTGAAGAGGAGATTTAGCCTTAGGTTGTGTGAGGTAAATGGAGTTGGTTCCTGTGACAAGTAGAGAGCTTGGTACTTGAAAGTTGTATCTCCAATACAATCCATGGATGCCATGCCTTGCTATCGCATTGTCCTCTCCTCTTAATCCTGTATTGAACCTCAGGTGACGATTCCCGCCTTTATTGACCCAAACCTAATTAATCCCCCCACCAACCAAACATGTTGTTAATTATTACCTTAAAATCATCAACTTCAAAAGTTCTCTGACCCACGTACTTCGAAGGTTGAAGTATAGAAAGAGATAGAGAGAGCTAGTAATTGATGAAGATGAGCATCAATGATGAATATACTTACGATTAAGCGAGAACTAGTGGTTGATGCTAAGGCAATATGTAGTGTGTAACTTCCTCTAATGACAAATGGGAGTTCAAATCTTATCTCCCATGTTGTTGCACTGTATGTGCTGTTTCCTAGGTCCCTGCGTGTCACAAAATCACATTTTCTAAAAAAACTAAAAATAAAAACAATTATCACCTCACTTTCAAAATAAACGTTATGTTATATTACCTCCGTTTCTTGATTATATAGGATCTAGTTTACAATTCAATTTCAACTACAAACTACATGTTGTATTAAGAACAGGAGGTGGTATATGTTTTTTTTCATATAAATGAATTCTGAATTTACTTGGGTCTAAGAAATGTCAAGACCAATTCATTGATTACCTGGGAACCTGAGCGTAGAACCAATCTTTGGAATAATCACTAACACCCACATGGTAAACGAGGTCGTTAGTTGGATATAATTCAGTATAACGTTTCCACAAGCCGTACTGTCTAAACCTGTCATTGGGCTTTCCTAGGTATAAGTTGTTAACGAGACTAGGATATGGGTCGGGCACATAAAACTCTTGAGCTGATCGATCAGGAATTCCAATTTCCCAAACCGTAGGACCAGTTCTTGGAGGCCAATAGTATAATTGACCTAATTGGATGTCATCTCCTGTAAAACCAACGTCAGTTAAATTAATAGTTAAAACTATGCAAATGCTTTTACTTAGATCATACTGATCGATGAACCTTTCAAAACACGTATCAAGTAAGTTCGTAGAGAATATACCTGATTTGATGGTAATGTCATACTCATATTTGTAATCACCAAGAATGCCAGGGACCCAACCATACAAGTTGTAGTCCCCGGGCACAACATTTTGTATAGTGAAGAAGCCGCTACTATCAGTTTGGGTCCAAAATTGATAACCCTGCAAATAAATTTATATATATAATCTTAATTAGTTTCTTGCTTACTGACTAGGGTTGAAGAAACTAAATTTCAATGGCAGGAGAAGAAACATGTACCTTGCTTTCTGTTTGCCATGATCCTTCATCTCCTGGGAGGGCTAGACCAACGTAAGCATTACTAACGTTAAATAATGTAACACCTGTAGGGTACCTAGAAAATCAAGGAAATTAAGATCATTATTTAATGTTTTAATGACAAGGAATTGTGGCTTACTAATGAGAGGGACAACAGATATATATACCATCTGATTAGCAATTGTCCAGACACTTTTCCCCGTTGATTGGATGGAATGAAATCTTTTGATTGAGGAAAATCATACGGCCAGCTTCCAACTTCCTTTTGCATCTGCCGGAAAGGGAAAAAAGGACATTAAAAGGAGAATAATGAAGAATTTGAAGGGTAATTACTGATTAATTAATAAATTAATTACCTGGTTTTTAGCATCGTCCCAGAGAGTTTGAGAATCACGGGGGTTGGCAACAGTGTTGAGGTACAGAAAAGTGGGGCCGAATACCTTCTTGTAGGTCTCTCCTTCTTTGAATATCATGGATATGTCCTTCGACCCAGCATAGTGCGGGCTCACGAAAGACTGCAAATCATAAATCAAATTCAGCAAACAACATATGACTTATGACCTAACAGTTTCATCAGTCTAACAACTCCTTTAGGAACAGACAAACTGTATACTAATTAATATATCCTGATATATCGCAGTTCATGATGATGCAGATAATTAATTAAAACATAACACCAGAATTAATGAAATTACGTACGTACGTTGAGGGTGACAGGACCAACATGACAGGTGAGACTTTGCTTGGTAGGTCCACCATTTCGGAATTCGTTGCTAGGTGTAATCATCCAGAACCCCATTGATGAAGAATTGGTACTGTTAAAAGCGACCCATCCGCTAACTTTGTTGTCTTTGTTCTCAACCGAGTACATGTACTTATCATCCACCTGATTCCTCAACACCACCATAATCAATAACATAGAAATTATGGTAAAAGAAAATTTCAAGTTTTCTGTAATCCATATTGACCACATGTAATACTGTAATTTAATTATTATCGCCCTCGTAAAGTTTTCTTCAAACTAGCCGTCATTTTTATAGTGTCTCGCGGTTTAGATCAGAAATTACAGGATGCGCCTGATAGATTACGGTGTTCACTGTTCAAGCAATCCAATTGAACTCAAGCTATAGGTATAGTAGTTTTACTCTCTTTCAAACATATGGAATTAAAATTAATGAAGGGTTACCTCTCCGAAGAATTCAGGGTTGCTAGGATGGGTTAAGAGGACAGCTTCAGGATAATCAAGGGTTTGGCCTTTGGATCTATCTTGAGCAGTGGGCATTTCTCTCTGCCTTTCGTCTGTTATAGCCATGTAGTGGAACCTGTAGGGTTATCATCGTATTCACATAGTCAATGGTGAATATATATATATTACTCATCGTTCTTTCATTAAACACAGAAGTAACTCTAAAAAGAATCTGATTAACAAAACAGAGAGCAGGATGAATGTTGTGCTAGTTTAATTTTCCACTTACAGGCCTTGGCTGAGCTTGTAAGCGAGCCTAAAGACATCCACCCGAATTGCAGGAAAATCTTCTGAACGCTCAAATATGGCATATGAATATAACCCTGAGCTGCCTCTCCGTAAAATATACCTGCCAACATTGATTTTATCTCATAATTAACTGTGTTTATGGATCAAAGAATAAATAATACTCTTCTTGTCCTTAACATAAGACTCATTTAACTAATTTGATTATATTAAGAAAGTTAGTAAGTTAGTTAATTATAACAAATGTAACATATTTTTCTTAAAACACTCTAATTATCTTCTTTAATATCCTCTCTTGTTCTCCATGATTGAAAGAGTAGTCATAAGGGTAATTTAGAAAAAACTGATAAATAATTTTTATATTTAGGACTAAAATTAACTTAAAAATTAAGTTTTATATTAAAGATCGAAAGAGTATTATAGTAAATCATAGAGATCTCATTTTGATTATATTAAATTATTTATTCATATCTTTCATATTTCCTCCTATCTTTAATATAGGGGTTATCCCTATTAAATGTATATGAAATATATGGGTAACCAACACACATTATTTATTACAAATAACTAATGTATAAACTAATTTTATAAACATTCATAAATTAGTCATATATAAATTTATGTTTAGAACAAGAGGGAGTATATTGTTAATATTACGTGTATTTATATCCTTAATTTGTGAAAGAAAAATTACTCAAATATATTTGCTTCCTTCAGACTTTTCAAAATTGAATTGAATTATAAAAGACGCCCACCTTATATCTATATTCATTGGGATGTTTCCTGAAGGCAAGGAAGAATTCCATGTGTATAAGAAAGAAACTTCAACTTGATCTTCGTTCTCCATTATAACAGAAAACTTTGTCCCTTTGAATCTGCATAACAAATATAAATTTATAAGCTGTTCATTAATTTGTAAATAATTCGACAAATAATAATAAATAATGTATATATTCACATGTCTAATGTCAATATCATCAATATAAAATATAAAAGTTTTAGCAAGATCACTATTTATACATAAATCAGGAATTAACTGTACATAAGATAATATGCAATGTCTAATTAAACGGGGGAAAAAAAATCTACCTGTAATAGTTACTGCGGCCACTAAGTGGGTTCCAAGAAAAGTCCCAATAACTGCAAATATTATCTTGTGTCAATAAAAGTTATATTTGTGGCTATATCTGAGATTCTCGGGAGAGAAAAGGTGAGAGCTAAAATAGAAATAATGAAAAATAATTTCCCCTTACTTTCATGTTTTCATTTCGAACATTTAAAATTCGTAAGTTCAGAAAGAGGATTTCGTAATACGTACAGATGGTTTATAATGCATATTCACATAAGTTTCATAATTCATTTTATTGATTTTGTAATTGGACCCAACAATTAATGAATACTACTAATATTTAAAAATTAGTTTTATGTTAATTGATGCTAATTGAGTTGGCGAAAAGGTTAGATACGGACTACAATCGCCAAACCGAAAAGAAAACAGGTATAACTTTCTATCTGTTTTCATTTTTCAATAGAGATTCGAATTCATATTATTTTCTGAAATAAAAAAAATGTTAACAGTTTCAGAAATATTGATACAATTTATTTTTAAGAAATGTGTATGTAGTACTAAAAATATATAGGAGATCATTTACGTCATTTCACTAAAATTTAAGGGATATTATAATATTAGTTACTTTTGAAATTTTCAATAGAATATACAAAATTCAATCATAATATATATCTAATCAAGAAAGAGATCGTAATCCCTGCAGAGATTTCTTTTCATCTTGAATCTTTTTCCACGATTTAGGGAAACACTAAAATTAAAGCACATAGATACAAATTTTCTTAATTTTTCATAAGAGGTCCCATTCTTCTACTTTTCACCAGAAGTCGATGACTATTTATAACTATTATCTTGACATCAAATAAGAGTTTGACTCCATGCTTAATCGATTCTGATTCGATATTAGAAGTATATTAATTTTTTCCAAATAACCGAATACTTTTGTTTGTAAATACTGCATATTTGATTCCATTCATAAATCTATCTTTTCCTTATGAGCTAGTCTCAATAAAAACGCTAGTTCTTTTTTTTTTTTTTGTTAATAAAAATGCTAGTTCTTACTATTTATAGGTTATGATATGAATATACTCCACCAATTTGTTATTAAGAAAAGAGGAAATGAACTGCCATGGTATTGTTATTAGAGATCGACATTGATAATTCATGAGATCATGTCTCTAATGATAGTTTTTGAAGAATGAAATAAATAAAAAAGAAAAGTTGGAAGTGAAAGAGTAATCAGGTTACCCTCTATTATCAGCACGAGTAAGAGGTTCAAGAAGGTTATCAATGCCATTATATGATAATCCTATCAAATTGCCGTCTGGCCGCGACACCGTAGCGCTAACGATCCCATTATACATCACCACCTGTAAATTCCATTACAATTTTTTTTAACTACGTAAAATGACATGAATTTTCTTAATTAAAATAACTCAATTAAATATAGGGGAAGCCAAAATATACAGATCCATCACCTTGTCATCACTTTGCTGTAGCGTGACAGGTTGATGAGAGTCTTCCATCTTACGCACAACACTTTCGTATCCGAATGATGGAAATGTTAATTCATGGAAAATAAATGTGATGCAGCAACTGGTTAAACTTAAATACGAAGAGATAAAATTCGAACTTTCTTATTGATCAATCGTATATAATCTATGAAAGAGAAACCTAGCTAATAAACAGAAAAAGTAAAACCCTAATAACTCTCAAACGAAAACGAGATGAACAAGTAAGTACCTACCTAGATTTGGTGATCTCAGAACAACCAGCGAGCAAGAAGAAGAAGAAGAACACTTGCAGCACACTCATTGTTTTCCGACACTGAAGGAATAAGAAGCTTGGTGGTTTCTGCAACTGAACACCCAATTTCTCCATCATTCAACGAATTTGCAAATCTTCAGATTGATAAATGAATCATCAGATGTACCTTAACTCAATCTCCTTAGGTCTCACACACACACATATATAAGAGAGCTGTGAGGGGGCAGTGTAATTTTCTTAAAGCTCCATACAACCAAGGTGAGATTATCTTCCAAAGTTTAAATTTTAAAGTTTCCTATAAATTGTTGTTAAGAAGTATATTCAAAAGTTAACATTTTAAAAAAAATCTAGGAAAAAAAGTAAAGTGGTCATCTCAATTTGAATGTCAAGTATTGCCGCCATAAGTGAAGTTTAAGGCAAAAAAAAAAAAAAGGGTGAGATGTGATGGCAAAATCGCGAAAGAATTTTGCTTAATAAAATACCTTTTTCAATGATATCGTCTATATGCGTGTTACAATTATGGGTGGAAATTACAAAATCACGACATTATATTATGTTGATGCTAACTGCTTATTGAAATTCGATTTTCCTTAAAATGATTGAACATAACTTCATCAAAATTAAATTGTTTTGTGTTAAAAAATTATTTATCTTATTTGATTTTATAACCAAAAAGACCAATATTTTGTCGGGTTCAATTTCAAACTGAAAAGGTTCATAAGTTTCATCAAAGTCATGATCTTACTAGCCAACCAAAAAAAAAAAATTATGATCTTCAGCATTTGGCTTTGTTTTTCTTGAGTGATATTTAAGAAATTGGAACTCATTTGGGTAGCATGCTAAATTCGACCTTCATTTCATGTAACCAAGAAAATAACTTACAATATTTTTAGAAGATTGATTTCTTTTCAAAATTTAAACCTGTTAAAATGTGTAAAAACTTACTAAATTAAGGAATAATAGAGTTGCATATGGAGCCTACATATGGATTTTATATTTTATATTGAATATTGAAAAGGACTTTAATTTCTAGTACTTCTTAGGGTAAAAATAGAATTTGTTGTGGAGCACGTGGTAGTACTTGACGGATCCTTTTCAATTAACTCTGCTTATAAAATCCCAGTGAAACATCATGATTTTACTGAGATCCGCATGGTCATTATACTAATTTGTTGCAGCGTAACAGGTTGATGAGAGCCTTCAATCTCACATAAAACACTTTTGGATCCGAATGATATGGAAGTGTTCAACATGAATTCATAATTGTGATGATGCAGCTGCTTAAACTTATATATGGACAAGTTAAATTCGAACTGTCTTGAAAATTATAAAGTATTGTTGATCAATCACATGTCAAGCAGAAAGATAGTGCTTATTAAAAAAAAGCCTAACTGTCTTAAAGGTTATATAGTATTGTTGTTCAATCATATGTCCAAAAGAAACAAAGTACTTACCTCAAAAAAAAAAAAAAAACACTAACCGTGTTAATAGTTATGAAGTATTGTTGATCAATCATAGATCAAGCAACAAACATATAATTTCTAGAAGATATTAAACTTTTTTAACATACGTACACTTAATTAAACCCTGTTAAGATGTGTGAAAAAGTTATCAAAGGGGACTGAAAAAGGTTCGAAATGAATGAAAGAACTAATTATTTGTTGACAGATAAATTAATTAAATACACATGTAATTGGCATATGAACCGAATCAAATTCTTAGATTGGAAGGTCTCTCTAGACGGATATAGTCATACATAAGTCCTTGGAAAGGACTAATGGCAAGTGGCTGTTTCAAATAGATAGTATTGTTGCCTTCTACTAAACGATCGCTTGGAACATCGATGCTGAACAACCAATACAGTCCATGGATTCCATGCCTTGCTATGGCATTGTCTCCTCTTAACAATCCAGTTTGAAATAGGGGACGCTTCTCACCTTGCTCATTGATCCAAACCTGCAATAAACAGCCCCAAATTAATCACCTTCATTCTTAACAAATCTGTATCTGCAGCAACAGCAAAGCTGATTTAATTCTTTCTAGTTGTGTATTCTATGTGATTGAAAAGATATAGACGCAAGCTGAGCCTTCCATCACTGCGCATATGTTTGGATTTAGGTGAGTTAACGTGGAAAATAAGTATATAAGTGGGTTGGCACTATACTTTAACCCAAAATCTCATAGCCTTTGAGTACAGTTTAGCGAACCTGCAATTCAGTTTAACACTGCATGTCCAGGACCTTACTTCTTTTCACATTAACTCACCCATGAATACTAACACTATCTCTATTTATTATCTTCTATACTATACCAACCACACAAAATGGGAAGGATCTCATTAGAGAGCCAAATCCCCCCCCCCCCAAAAAAAAAAAAGCCTTCGTTGTTTTAGCGAACCTGCAATTTAGAACTAGTGGCTGATGCTAAAGCCAGTCGTAGGGTGTAATTTCCTACTAACAGATTCCGTCTTCGAAGTTCAAATTTAATCTTCCATGTAGTTGGCTGATATCTGCTATCTCCTATGTTCCTGTACACACAAAATTTACCCTAGAGTCAAAAAGAACAGAATTTTATCGATCAATATTGCTACGCATCAGATCATTAATGACATTTTATAAAGACTACCTTGTAACATGAGCAAAGAACCAATCCTTATCATGAGAGTCAACACCAACAGTGTAAACCAGATCATTTTTTGGATACAATTCAGCATAGCGTTCCCACAATCCATATTGTCTAAACCTGTCGAAACAATGATTGTTGCCTAAGTGGAAAGGAAAGGAAAGTGAACATACTGTTAACAACTATATATGGTTGGTCTAACTTTTCTTCGGGACGATTGTTGTATAATTTGTTCAGGAGTTCATGATTTGCGTCCGGGATATAGAATTCTGCTGCTGACCGATCTGGCACTCCAATTTCCCAAACGGTAAGACCATTTCTTGGAGGACTATATACAAGAAAACCTAATTTGATCCGACACGCTACACGCACAGAATATTATACTTGTTATGTGAATGAGCAGGTTAACATTAATTAGGGTTTACATCAAACCAGAAGGATATTGAAGAAAATGCTATACCTGGCGTGATGGTGATTGTTGTATTATATTTATAATCACCAATAAAGCCTGGAACCCAAGCAAACAAATTATACTTTCCTGGGATAACATTCTTTATCGCGAAATAGCCCTCTTTGTCAGCTTGAGTCCAGAACTGATAACCCTATATGAGATGCTATAGGATTTGAGTTCAGAATTAATGATCCTAGTTTCGAATGATACTTCGTAATAACAAGGAATACCTTGCTTTCTGTTTGCCATGATCCTGCATCACCAGGCAAAGCTAAACCAACATAAGCCGAGTTAGCATTTTGGAACCTGCCTCCTTCGATATACCGATCTTGAACCAGTAATCTTCCAGTCACACTTCCACGTTTGGTGGGTGGAATGTAATCTTGTGACTTTGGGAAATCGTAAGGCCAGCTTTGGACTTCCTTCGACATCTAATTGAATCAACGAAATGCAATATATAATTCTTTACTTTTTTGGGACAGATCAGCCTGAGCAGAGGGACATTAGTATTCAATTACTTGTTGTACAGCATCTCGCCAGAGCGTTTGTGCATTGGCATTGCTCGAAATGGAGTTAAGATACACAAAAACAGGGCCAAAAACCTTCTTATAGGTCTCCCCTTCTTGAAATTCCATGGCTGCCTCCTTCCCAGCCAAGTGCATGCTCATAAACATCTACAAATCACTCAAATTTTGGAGAATTTTAAAGGGGAAAACGAAAAGCTACTCTGTTATTAGAAATGATTTGCTTTTGAAGTTGGAGACTTACGGAGAGAGTAAAGGGGCCCACATGAGAAGTAAGATCCTGCTTGATGGGCCCGCCATTGCGAAACTCGTTGCTGGGTGTTATTAACCAGAACCCCATGGCTGCATTAGAATTGATGCTAATCCAACCATGTACTCTGCTGTCCTTATTCTCACAAGCGTACTGGTATTTGTCGTCCACCTAATCCAACATCACGACTCAATCAATTCATTCATGCCAATTTTATAATCAAACCAGAACAAACAGACACATTCAAATACTATAATGTTTGCGAGAGAGAGGGGAAAATATGTACCTCTCCTTTAAAGATTTCGTTGGATGGGTTGGTTAAGAGAACAGCTTCAGGATAAGCTAAAGTTTTCCCTCTTTTTCTATCTTCCATTGTTGGCATGTATCTTTGCCTAGTGTCTGAGATAGCCATATAATGGAACCTGCCCAGTATGTGATCATTTTCATTCGTTTCAGGAAAAAAAAACAAGTTCTTACAATTACTGATTAATTTCCATTTTTTCTGGTAATTACCTGTCTTCCTGAAGCTTGTAAACAGTCCTGATTTGCTCAACCTGGACTGCTGGAAATCCTTCTGGACGATCGAATATAACGTAAGAGTAAAATCCAGAACTTCCTCGTCGCAATATATACCTGAAGATTTAATCTTTATCTGATAGTTAATGAACATGCAACATATATAAGGCCTCTGTTTGTTCTTTAAATATATTTAAAAACCGAACTTTGAATCCACCTTCGGTCTACGTTGATGGGGACACTTTTGCCTTCCATGGAAGATGTCCATGTTGTGGTGAACGAAACCTCCACTTGATTTTTTTCTTCTGCTACGATTGTAAACTTTGTCCCCTCGATTCTGCAGTGTTTTATACGTGGATACGATAATATATTAAATCAGTCCGATCGGTGCAAGAAGCCAGCATTACCTGTAATAACCGGACAAACTTGTGTGATTAAATTACTATACCTCTGGTGATAATTATTGTCTTTTCCTTGTTTATTCCAAACTACATCGAAATACCTGCGAAACAAGAGCAAATGGAAATCCTTTCAGCTTTCATGAGAAGTTGAAACTGGTATTAGATTCATTTCATGAACAACAGAACAAGTCTGAAGCAGGGTACCCTCTGTCTTGTTCATCGTTGCGAGATTCTAGTACATTTTCGATTCCCTCATATGATATTCCCACAACATTCCCCTCTGGTCTTGACAGGGTGACATGGATTATGCCATTGTCCATCATCACTTTCCCGTGATGTTCTGTGTTCAGCTTAACTGCAGAACTGGGTTTTGGAATACTGTTTATACTTCTCCACAACATTTTTCTGCTACTGGAAACATGCATGGAAAGGGGAAAAAAGATCATACTGATAATGAATAAAATTATAAGCATCATGCATATAACTAAAATTACTTTATATTCCTGTCTAAGTTTCAGTTTATTAACTAAAATACCTTTCTAAGATCCTGCTGTCAGAACAACCACAGTGCAGAAAGAAAAGCTGCATATTCAATCCAAACCACCACAACAAGAAAACTCGTTTCCTTTTCTCTCCTACCTTCATCTTTCACAGCTATATATGAAACCTGCAAATCCAAAACTAGCAACTTCATTTCAGAAGAAGAACGCTACGACATTTTGATCATGAATCATGCTAACGCTGTCGAGATGCTACTAACACAATTAACCATGAAGACCTCGAATGAAAATATTAAAGGACCAACTTTAATCATTACCAATGCAGGCCCTTGTTCTGGGATGTGCTGAAAACCGTAGGAGATGAGGGACCAAGGTTTTGTCTGATCACGAGGTTCTAATTTTCCTTGGATCTTTATAAATACATTAATATAACCCCAGGGCAACTCCGGCTTCCTTTTTAGTAATGTTAACATTATTAATTTTTTTCCCTTTTTTGTGGTGGGGATAATGTTTTCTCTGAAATTGTGTTTGCATTAGGGGGGAAAAAAACTTTTTGTGATCTGTAATTGCATTAAGTATGCTGGGAAACATCCAAGTAGATCTCGATATTACTGCGCAGATGTCAATTAGTGGATCTCTGTTTCTCTCTGACCCTTCCTTTTCCTGCTTCTTTGTGTCTCTCCAAATGACCAGGTCTGTTTAGACACTAAATAAGTAAATATAGATAACCCATTTTGGGAAGGAGTTGGAAAATAAATTTACGTATAAATATAATTTCAAAGATTTGGGCGAAGGAAAGTTTCTTCCTTATTCACAGGGTTGTTTCACTGATAGTTTACCAGACAAATTTAGAAAAAGAAACGCTCAAAAACCAAAATATCCGCAGGATCTACCGAGTGAGGAAAGTCTGAACAAATTTTACAGTAGGCACTTTTTTTTTTTTTTGAGTGCTTACAGTAGGCACTTTAAAGTTTGAGCAACACGTACATAAATTTCAACGAAAGTAATTTATCTATATAAAATTATCGGTTATGGATAATTCCTTGTCCTCGCTAGACAGTTGGTACACAACCAAAAAAAAAGAAAAAGTAATGGCTCACGATAGGAGGGAATGAGGAGAGATAATAATAAAATAAGAGAGCATGACCCTCAGAATCATTTTAAAAAAGCAATTTTAAGTAAATATATAAGAAATTTAATCTTAATTTGCGTGCAATTATTTTTTAATATGTATAACGTTTATGATGAAATCAAATATATTCATTGTTTATACGTGCAAGGCTCACGATTCTTTATCACCGAGGATGAAGACACTCTTCCAAGTAACTTTTGAACTTTGAGATATTTTTCAAAAAGTACTTTTATTTGTAAGGATATATCAAAAAATGTTTGTTTGATCCCCAAGAGGGGGTCTCGCACAATCCCATAATCGATACATATATTACGAGAATATACTGGAAAACCGCGCAAAAATTATTAATAAGCGAAAGTAAGATGGTTTTGTATGTGAAGAATAACCTTCAGATTCTTATTTTAAAAAAAAACAGCAATAAACAAATATCATTGACTAATAAAAAAATAAAAAATATTAAAAAATAAATGGAAATTGATCCCGAATCATTCCATCCGAAAGAATCTTTACGTTTTTTCATTATCTTTAGATAAAAAGTATCTTTATAATATTTTGCATTTATGAAAAGAATGACAATAATTTCATGAAGCGGCCCAAACCCTGCACGCCTATAAGGTGTGGGCTAGGCCCATAGGCCACATGGTCCATGGGCCTAGCCCACTCCATGTAGGCATGCAAATCTGTGCTTCATTTTGCCTATTTATTTATTAATATAAACTCACTACTTACCAATGGAGATTGGGTCTAGTGGAAGGAGTTAATCTTTTATAATGTGGCGAACTAAGGTTCAAATCCTCACTAGGAGAGATGTCCACATTTAGTGCCTGACGTGCCTCGAATAAGAATGCTTCTGTCAGAGTAACGATTTAACCCACATCTTATATTAACATATCGGAGCAGAAGAGACTAATTTTACTAAAAAAAACCAACAAAGAATTGATTTTATTATTATTTTTAATAAAATAGTTACAGAAGAATATACTCACACATCACCCCTGTTTCTGGCATAAAACCCCCACCATTCCTAAGGCATGAATATAAGGACTTATCTTTTACTTTATGAGCCTATAATCTAGTTTAAGAATGAAGGCACCACATTCAATTCTTAATCTAGAAAAACCAATATTGCCTTGAAAAGAATCACACACGACATGAACTAATTACACACCTAATTAGCATATCAACACGATCAGGTCCTTAGAGTTGGTGGTCTTTCTAAACGTATATAGTCATACATAACTCCTTGAAAAGGACTTATGGCAAATGACTGTTGCAAATAGATGGTATTATTCCCTTTCATTAAAACATCGCTGGGAACATCAATGCTGAACAACCAGTACAGTCCATGGATTCCGTGCCTTGCTATGGCACTGTCCCCTCCAAATTTTCCGGTTTCAAACAGTGCAGGAGCGTTACCTTGCCCGTTGATCCAAATCTGCAGAAAAAAAGACCTCCAGATTACACCGATTCATAGTGAAATAATCTATCTAAACCAGTAAGAAAACTTCAAGTAATGTGTTTTAGTATACCTTTAGGTCAGAATTAGCGGCTGCGGCTAAGGCTAGTTGGAGGGTGTAATTTCCTTTGAATGGGCCATATGGAAGATTAAACCTAATCTGCCATGTCGTTGCCTGGTAAGTCGTATTGCCAGTGCTCCTGCTCAAAATTCATCATGGAGTCAAAAATAACAATTGTACAAACCAATAGTCAAATTACATCATTATATGATTTAATTTTATTTTACTTACAGACTTGGATCCTGTCCAAGTCACTAAAGAGAACAGTGAAGGAAGAAAAAAGAATAAAGCTCATACATCAGAATGAATCCTCTATATATGTGTGTATGCATATTTAACCCCAGAGGGCATCCAACTCACCTTGTAACATGAGCATAGAACCAGTCTTGATCATATGAACTAACACCAACGGTGTAGACTAGATCATTGTTTGGATATAAATCAGCATAGTGTTCCCATAAACCATATTGTCTATACTTGTCTTTGGGTTGTTCATTGTACAATTTGTTCATGAGTGTAGGGTAAGGGTCCGGGATATAGAATTCTGCAGCTGAGCGATCTGGGATTCCAATTTCCCAAACAGTGGATCCACTTCTTGGCGGATTATATACAAGTGAGTCCAATTGGACTACACTACCTACAGGATTCAAAACAACTGAATATGAACCACCTTTCAAATATGGATATGAAGCAAAACCAGAAGGATTTTGAAGAAAATGATGTACCTGGGCTAATGGTTATTGTAGCATTGTATCTGTAATCACCAATAAAGCCAGGAACCCATGCAAACAAGTTATACTCACCGGGAACAACATTGTTTATCACAAAATAGCCCTTCTTGTTCGCTTGGGTCCAAAATTGATAACCCTGTAAGTTACCATAAGAATTGAGAATTTGAGTTTTAGACTGAATAAACTCTGTTTCAACTAACCCTCTTCATGTAGAAGAAATACCTTGCTTTCTCTTTGCCATGATCCTGCAGCACCAGGAAGAGCCAGACCAACATATGCAGAGTCAGCATATAGAAATCTGCCTCCTCTGATATACCAATCTTGAACCAGTAATCTTCCAGCCACGCTTCCACGTTGGGTAGGTGGAATGTAAGCTTGTGATCTTGGGAAATCATAAGGCCAACTTTTGACTTCCTTAGACATCTAATCCAAACAAACAATACGTCATAATATTGTTTAATTTATGAAAAATTAAATTTGAATAGAAACCAAGAAAGAAATGTTTCATGGTTACTTGTTGTGTGGCATCTGTCCAGAGTGTTAGTGGATTCTCAGAGCTTGAAACAGAGTTCAGATACACAAAAATGGGGCCGAAAACCTTCCTGTAAGTCTCTCCTTCTTGAAATTCCATAGTTACCTCCTTCCCAGCATAGTGAGTGCTCACAAACATCTAGAGAACTCCCAAATTTAGTAAATTAACAAATAGGAAATCTTAAAGCTACTTTGTTTCTTAGTGTGTGGGGGGACCTATGACTTCTCACTTCTTCTTCTTCTTCCCTTTTTTTTTTTTTGGGGTAAAATGATCAAAATATGACTTCCTATCCTCATCCAGCAACATCAATTATATG